GGGGGGGCTGGAATGCGCGTGCGGCGGCGGGGACGGGAGGGGCCCGCGCCTTCCCTTGTGCCGGCGGGCGCCGCGGGGGAGCCGCCGCGGCCCCGCGCCTCGACAAGTTTCGGAGCCGCCCGGTCCTTTATGAGCACGGGTAGGCGCCGAGCGCCGCCCGCGGGGACTCGTTCCTGCCCGCGGTCCGCGGCCCGGAGATCCCGCACGCCCGCCCCGCCACCCGCACGGCCGGCCCCGGCTGCCACCCCTCGGGTTCCCCAGCGGAGCCTCCGCGTCCCCCGCGGTCTCCCCGCCGCCGCCCCGGGCAGCCCCACTCCCGCCCGCGCGCCCGCGGCCCCGTCCCCTCGCCGCCGCCTCTGCCCCTGCGAGCGCCCGGCCGCTGCTTCCCTCCCCCCGCCGCTTTCTCCCAACTTCTCGCGGCCGCCCGCACTTACCCGTTGCCCCTGTACGCTCCGGTGACCAGGGCCGGGCCGGCGGCGGCGCGCGGGCCGCGGGCTGGGTGGGAGGCGACGAGCCGAGCGCTCCCCCCCCGCTGGAAGGAACTTGTGGGTTCCCTCAGGCGGACATTTTTTTGCTTACAGAGCCTCAGCACCACGTTCACGGCTCCGGCTCCGTATCCCTCCGCGCCGAGCGCCGCCGCCTTAACCCTTGCCGCGCCGCTCCCGGCCGGGGCGGGCGGGGATCCACGGACACCCCCGGGAGCCGCCCCGGCAGCCGCCTCGCCCCGGACGCAGCGCCGGGACACCCCAGCAGATGGGGAGAAGCGGGTCCCGTCGGGCCGCTCAGGGAAACACGCACCCCGCGGGAACAGACCCCTCCCCACCGCTCCCCAACTCAGCCAAACCGACAGCAAACCTCGACATGCAGCACTGCCGGCAATGCACGTGCCCCAAAAGACATTATCGCACTCACCCTGAATTCACATACCCTACAATATGTCTTAATACTTTCAATATATCAATACAAAGTCTTACTGCTCAAAATAAAATGGCATATAAATTACATAAATCTTTAAGAATTCATTAGCAGCTTCCTCTTAAATACATACCACTAAAACCGTAACGTGTCAAAGCACAAGAACATGGCTGTTACTACAAGAACATACATTCAAATAAACTCTGCAGCTCTCTGAAACAGGTGATGCTAAATGTGAACCAGCTCAACGGCTTCCGTGCAGGAATGGGAAGCAGCTTGCGAAGAACCTGCGCCCTCATTTGGGTCCTGCCACTGCTACGGACAAATCACTCTTTTGTGCTCCTTCTCACAAAACCGCACTGCCAGCCTGTCCTGCTGGGAAGTTTATTTCGTGTCTGTAAAACCACCCCATCCAGCAGCGTACCGGCCTGAGGCAAGCGCACGCCTCTCCCGACACCGAGCGGTGCGGTGCCGGAGCGGTGCCGGAGCGGTGCCGGTGCGGTGCCGGTGCGATGCCGGTGCGATGCCCGTGCTCCGTCGCGCACCCGTCTCTCGAGCCTGCAGAGCCCCCAGGTGGCACCTACTTGCCACCACCTGGGCCTGGGCCTGCTCTTTTCTGACCCCACTACCGAGGGCCAGCTACCATTCTCTCCGAAAGTGAGAATTATAAAGCAATAATCTATGCAGCTACTGGCAGATTGTTCTTTCGGAGCAAGAGTATTTACGAAACACAAGGACAATGAAAAAGGATACTAAAATCGCGGAGAACCTAAAAGGCACCAGGGAGCCGGTAAGTGCAGGGAGGAAGGGCACGCAGTGTGGAGGAGCTCGCATCCCTCCCAGGCTGCTGCTTGGCAGTCCCCCAGCTCTGGAAAGCAGCAGGCTGTACCGAGGGCTCTCCAGCCACACACCCTTCCCTTTCAAATCAGCTCTTCCAGCCAGGCCCTAACTGTGACATCTTCCGGAGGAACGGGAATGTGGTAACAAACTTACCACCCCCAGGCAAAGACAGACTGGAGATTCTGGAGATGCTCCTCCATTTTTCTCCCTTCCATGCCTTGTGCTGGATGATCATTTGGCCTCGTGATTCTATGAATATTCATATATTTGCCACTTAGAAATGCAAGAAGCAATTTGTATTAAAATACCAACACAATGACTTCCATTCTCTGTGCCCCTGAGGGATAAAAGTATGTACTTTTTCTCTTTGAAGTATAAATAATACTACACTTTAGAGGGAAGTGCCCATTGACACAGATCATTATACGTTTCATGAGAAACATTCTTTAACATATTTTTATTACAAGATCCCTCATATACCTACTGAGAAGATATTGTTTCTCTGGAAGCGCTACTTTTAACCAGTAGTGGTACTCAGTACCAGTCAGTAGAGCTGCTACCCTGATAAGCATTGATTAGAAAGCTGGCTAAATGTAAAGAAAGTGGAAGTAATAATGTTAACAATTATTTGTACTGATGTGTAACTGGATTAAAATTATAACTTATTTTTGTTAAGATATAGATAATTATAGATTCTTCGTTAATACAAATACTTTGTATTTGCTCTCTGACATCAGATTTTAAGGTTCACATCTATAGGCTTTTATTTGCAGCTAGAAGCTTTGAGTGGAAGATGATATAGCCACATAATCCATGACACAGGGTTTAAAGTTACACAAAATACCATAAAATGTTTTATTTGCTCCACAGTGACATGCCGCTTTTTCGTGCAGATGCTGAGTAAACATGTTCATTGCCAAAAGTCACATTGTAGCAGCCATTCTCCTGCATTTCTCTACACCTCCATGCCCTGGTGGTCCTCTCAAAAAAATTCCAAGGCACTTAGAGAAAAATTATCAGAACATAAATGAACTTTACAGAAATTATGCCAGACAATTTAGCAAGTACACAAGGCCTCAGCAAAGATATGCTTTGACCAAAAATACACTGTGAGTCTGACCTAAAGAAGATTGCTGGGGAACACAAAATTGTAGTGAGCTGTCCAAGACAGAAATTTCAGAACATACATACATACTTCTGCAGGTAGCTCAACTAAAACTGCTGTGGAAGATCAGTAACTATCACATTCTCTGTTACAGTAAAATTCAAAAGATAATTAATCTAATGTTTCCTGGATACTGAACATATTCTTCCACATTTGTGAGATTTGGAATCTTTAATGTATTCACTCTTTACCCCCTTATCATGTAACGCTGCCCAGAACTAACATGTACACGCAAAACATTAAGGCATGATATTCTGTCTATGCAATACTTTCACCTATTCTCAGGATCTGCAACGCCATGCTCAAGGTGTTACTTAGAATCCTTTCAACTCTGCCACTCCCTATAAATTATTCCTGTTCACTGCAAAGAGTTTTTTAAAAATGCATTTCATATCCTTATCCTGTCATAGCCACACACAGAAAATAAAACAAAAACAAATGTTGTCAACATTAAAAAGAATAAAACCTAAACCCAAGACAGTATATATTGTAAACATTTTTAAAGATCTGAAGAAACTAGCATCTGAAACCTGGTTCAAGCAGGTACAATGGTTTCCCATTTGCAAGAAAGAAAATACTTTCAGTCTCATTTCTGCTGCACTCCTAGATAAGGTTCTTTCCTCGCACATGTGCAAATGCAGTTAGTATATAAATCACACAAAAATCAAAAACTTTCAACTGTTCTGTGACATGACTGTAACTTTCCTGTACATTATGTAGCAGGCTAAAATGCTACCCCCTTTTGTTACTGTTATACCCTCTTTTCTTTCACTTCATTAAAAATAAAAGGTCTTCAATATGTAAGGAGCAACAATTCAGATGGATAGAAAGAAAATACAGGAGCATTCATAAGCACTAATAATTTTACTGATGATTTCACAAACTAGGACTCCAGCAATCAGGACTGTATTCCTGTAGATGCTTTCCCAAAAATATTTTCATCAATGAATTTTCTACCAAAAAAAGTATCGGTGTTGTACATAAATACCCTTCCCTTAGAGAAGTCTTCGGTCTGTCATGGAGTAGTGCAAGTAACAGGAAGGTAAACCTCTGCACACAAAGTCATCGGTGAACTCCAGACGCTGACAGAACACACAATACAACTGTAAATCTTTATGGTAACTGCCCTGACAGCTGAGCTACCAACATCAATATGGTCAGCGACCAACCAGAGCTATCAGGGAATTGCTACTTGCCAGATGGTGATGGCAGCGTTCTTCCACATGCTTCAACGTGACCATGAAAATGAAGAATTACATACAGAACATAATAAAAAAATTAAGAGGAATATAAAACCCAAATCACTTGAGCACAACTCCCTGAAAATAATCACACTCATATGCAGTTTTCACAGCCTTCATGAATTGCTTTCCACCCACTCCTTAAAGGAAAAATATTTGATACAGCAGACAGCTGTTGTGCATTCAGGGATGTGAGAAAATGTATTCCGTATTACTATTTAATGTATCATGCCTGTGTGAATAGAATCATTAAGCTTGCATGTATCCTTTTGGCTTATTTAATCTCAAATTTACAGATGCTGAATTAATTCACCATTACTACCCAAACTGTACAAACTCCTAGGGTGATCCCCAACAGAGCACTTGACCGAGGATGGAGTTTTCACTGGAATGGCTCTTTTAAATCAACATGTATGTGGTCAGCTTGCATCCACAGCCAACAATTTATTAATGATAAATGCTACTGCTCGGCAAATCCATAGCCCCGAAGAAAAGTCAGCAAACCTTTTTCCCTGCTCCAGTTTGTTGTTGTTCTTGTTTGGTTTCTTACACCTAGTTCCCACCCTTACCTAAACCATTGATTTCTTTCTACTGCTCCCAGTAAACTTCCCTGTACAGAGAGCAATGCTCATTTAGAGTCAGCAATAAGGAGATGACAATATTATTTCCTGCACTAGGATGGACAAAGCAATTCCATTTTCTCACTGATGTGTTCCTTCACCTTGAAGCTGACTTGAAACAATAAAAAATTAAAATATTTTTGTTGTAATGCATGAAACTTTTGGATGGAGTTCTTGGAGAGGCATTCTGTTCTTCTTACATCTTACAAAACAGACTGGAAAAGTGTCCTACGAAAGAGCACAGGGCTGTGTCCCTATGCCCAAGCCTCACGATTACGCAGTGCTTGCTGTTATCAGTACAGCCCATCTTACAGATAACCGAATTTGCTGCCTGCTATATTTACCTCGCAGTAATTAAAATTATATAACATATATATTATGTAACATATTCTACAATCAGAAAGATTTAGAACATTTGCAGGAGGTTACAATAGTGAAGCCTGTCGCCAAAGAGTACTACTTAGGAGGTGACCGGAGAGAAAATATGCACAGTGACCATTGTTAAGTCAAAACCTATTTCTGTGGGGCACTGACAGCTACACTTCACTTGTTTTCTGCTGCTGACAAAGTGCTTGTGGTTGAGGAGGGGGTGAGTAAAAGCTTTAGCTCTCCGTAAGGGACCTCCTCTCAAGAGAAATTTCTACAAAAGTTGTCTGGGGGAAGGAGGTTAAAAAAAAAAGGCGGCTGAAAGGAGAAATCGCGGCGGGAAGGCCCCATCAGAGATGGTTCCTCCTGGTCCCCCTCCCCGCAGTAGAACCGGTCCGGACACAGCGGGGCCACTCGCCAGCCGTGACCGCGACCACAGAGCCCGGGGGCGGGCGGCGGCACCGGGGCCGACGGGAGCTGCCCCGCCAGCGGCCCCTCGGGCTGCGAGAACCCCGCGGCAGAGCCCCGGGCGCGCCGAGCGCAGCCCGCTCCCAGCGCCGCCCGAGTCCCGCTGCCCCGGGGCTGCCGCGGGGGACCGGAGTGACCGTGACCGTGCCCGCCCGGCCGCTGCCCCGCCGCCCGGCCGCGGGGCCGCCCCTTCACCCGCCGGCCGAGAGCGGCCCGAAGTTGTGCGGGGCCGAACAATGCGGCGAGGACTATTTGTCCTTCCGCCGGCCGGGGGAAGGGAGCGGCGGGCGCGGGGGAGGGTCGGGGGGGCCGCTCCTCGCCGCAGGTCCCGGGGCGGGCCGGGCCGGCTGAGCCCTCCCCGGGCCGGTTACGAAATGCCGGGGAGCCCAGCCCCATCCCGTCCCGCCCATGCCGGGGGTAGGCTGGCTGGGACTGTGGCACACTGCGCCGGCCGCGGGCCTTTGCGAGAGCCGCGTTCGGAGCAGCGCTGCGTTCTGCCCTGTTCTGTCCCGTCCCGTCCCCGCCGCCCTGCGCCTGCCGGCTTGGCTGCCACTGAGAGACTGGCGGGGCAGCAGAACTCCAAGCGGCTCGGCCAGGGGGAAAGTCTGATTACCCGCAGTCCCTGCTGCCGCTCCAAGCCCTGCACTCCGCGCTTCCTGCGGGAGTTACGCACCAGCACGAGGGCTCCGTACGAGCGCGGCGCAGCTCGTGGCCGTGAGCGCCTGGAACACTCCTCATCTTCCCCTAGCTCAAGAAACGAACCTGAACACCACCAGTGAAGAAGTAAGCAGTTTAAACAAATAAACGACGTTAAATTAAATTCACACAGGAGCTGGCTTGGGTACTCGTTTTGTTTAAGCCAATATTTCTTAAATTACCTCTAACAATCAACAAGTTTATGCTAAAAGCAACATAATGTTTTCCTGCTTTTACAGTACTTTGCTACTTACAGAGAAGTAAGTAGTCACGAGAGATTTACACAACGTTAATAAAATTAATCTAAATTACATTGTCTTTAAAGGTGGCTTTAAAAATCAGTATGATCTAAAGCTTAATAGAAACGTGTTTAGATGTTTAATTAAAGCATTCATTACATTGAAAGCAGATTGATATCCCTGGAGAAAGCTGGGTTTTTTCAGCGTATCTTAACCTTTCTGTTCAGGAGCTCTCAGCATGGCCCTGCCTACCGCTCCTAGGAGGTGACACCGCGGCCAGCAGCGGGTGTCGCAGCCAGCCAGTCCTACCGAGCGGCCGGTGCGGGCTGTGCCATGCAGCACGGCCCCGCTACCAGAGGGACAGACTGCTGGCAAAAACAGTCCAGGGACTGGGCAGCTGCAGCACTTCGAACCACTTCATTTTAAGAGAAGCCATTTATGAACTCAGAAAACACAGATTACAACAAAGAGTCCTGTAACTGAGATTAAAAAGGGGACTTATTTTCAGTGAGGAAATAATACAATGTTTTACGTTTACTATGTGAACTATATGCCTTTCACTACACATTCTTTATGATCATCACATCACACAGTTCAATGTGAACAGTTTTGAAATACCTCTAGTACGATCATTACTGGGGAAAGCCATTGGGCAAAGCATCTTCCACTAGTAAGTTCTCACAATGAACGATGTTGGCTAGGTAGTCAGAATACAGCTAATTTGCAGAAAGGATAAAACATGAGTATCACCACCTTTAGCCTTGTTTCCTAGAGAAATCACTTGCACACTGTGTTCATGGGGATGGATGAGTTTTTTTAATAAATCACAAATTCACTTGCTAATTTCAACCACGGAAAATTAGACCACATTCATGCATGTCATGGAAACAAGGATTAAAGGAGAGGAAAACAGGAGACTTAGCACATTTACTGAAGAAATGAGTAGTTAAGGTCAATCCTTGTTAGCCAAAGAACCCAGGGATGCAAACCCAGGCAGTTCCCTTCCGGCAGAAAAAAATTCTGGTATTCTGTCTGCCACAGGAAGTGGAATCATCCATCTGTTTTACACAGAACTTTTTGAACATTTCCTCATCTCCAAAGTTTCACAGGAGCCAGGAAATAATTGCTTTAATGTAATCAAAAGCCATATAACCCATAGATAATGTTTTACATTCTCAAATTGCTTGGAAGAATTTAACTAAAGTCTGACTACAGCCGATCATCAGCCAGTCCCAGATGGGTCCCTCATGCATGAGATTCCTACCCAAAACTAATTCCCTGCTTGGCACTGGGAAGAGTTTCTGTCCTTCACACACCTAATGGACCATCAGATGATGCACTTTAGGGAACTAATGGATAACAGAGAGGACCACATTTACAGAGGAAAATCAGAACTTTGAAGAATAGTAGGAACTCTTTACACCAAGCACATATATACACTTCAAACTACACTGAAAGAAGCTTCCTTTCCTAAGTCAGTAGAGTGATAATATGGAGTTTTTAAGGCTTTAGGAAGAAAAACAAAGCTCAGAGTTGAAGTTCTATTTTGAACATTGTTGCAGCCACATCATAGGTGGACCCTGGTATGAAGAGAATGGTTAATACTGAAGTATTTCCCTCCTCATATATAATCAATATTATTGTTTCCAATAATATCTGCAGAACACATCAGATTAATTTTCATTTGGGAATGAAATTGTAGGCAGTCTCCTTGTCATACATATTTATAATTTCCTTGTAATTAACATAAATATTTCTGTTAGAAATAGATTTTTTTACTTTCTTTTTCAAAGAGCAGTTTACTTTCTAAACAGCATATTTATGTTTTCTGTTCCTCTGTGCTTATACAGTAGTAGCTATGACCTCCAGAGCCATAATTCTACCACAGCTGCAGGTCCTGGGGAGCTGGCTTATAGCAAAGAGGCTTCTGAATGAAATACAACCTTAAATCAAGATTCAACAGCTTTTAAGAATAGGGAACATAAGAAAACCATGCTGCTCAGACCAAAGGTCCACCTATCCCAGTAGCCTATTTCCAAAATAACAGCTCAGTATACAGTTTCTCTTTTCAGCTTAGTCTCTCATATGTTCTCAGTGCAGTGACTATTCAGTGGGATTCTGGAGAACAGAAATGGGTTTGGCCCAGTGCCTGTTCTTGGTATTGCATCATTTCCAGACTAATGAGAAAGATCAATCATTACCCAGTACAGAATACTCAGGGAAGTATGTAAGAATAAGGCACGAGCAGAGTAATCCTGTACCTGACATATTCCCCTTCTTGCCAATAAGAAAATTAATAATTTCTCAAGCAAGAAGTTGCATTTGATTATTGGTTTTAGTGGCTATTGAGAACTCATCCTTCATTAATTTCTTTTGTTCATGTTGAATTATTTTAACTACTCAGTAGCCATATTTGTAGAAATCATGACAAAAGGGTCATCAAGTAGTGAAATTCTAATACTGTCAACAGGGTAAATATGCACCATGAGGAAGACTCTTTGAAAATCCTTAAAGGAGATCCAAGTCTTGATGGTGAGACTTGTGATTGTTCTCCATCAAATACAGCATCAATATATTGCCATTGAAAGCAAGTGCCAAGTTAAAATATGAGATTTTAGTCAGTTGTTTTACATTCCCTATATCACCTTATCTTTAGTTGTAAAGTCAAGGTTTTACAGTATGGAACATACTGTGAATAGCCCAGGATATCATGGTTAGTTTGCTACTATAGGCAAACTTGTGCCTCTTGGTTGTTGGGCAGACCAAGCCAAATGGTTAAAGGTCAGTGTCCCTCTGCATTTGCTTTAGTAGGGCTCGGGGTCTTCTACCCAAATTCTTATGTTCGTGAAACTTGTAGAGATTTACTATCTTGGACACAAGTACCCTCTGTTAAATTGAATTAAAAATTGGAAAATACTTTTTAAAAGTTATTGGAAAGACAAACAGATAAACTGGTAGTGCAACTGCAGAAATTTATCTTCTGTAAACAAAAACCAGAATAAAGCAGTTATAAAAGGTACTTGCCATAATTCTGTTCTGATTGAAGTCAATGGATATGAAGCAATTGGCTTCAAAGGAGCCCATCCACTGTCCCTTCAGAACTATTTCCAGCAGAAATGTCACAGCCTGTCAAAATAATTCATATTACATGTGGAAATTTTTCATTATGTTCTCTAAGAAAAATGGTTATTTCAAAGTCAAGAGATTTTTCTTCTAACATTGTTCTGTATTAATCCCTTCTTTTTCAAACTGCACAAAAAATTTAAATTGATCATATAGCTCAAGGCAATTCCAAAGTTTACATTCATTGCTGATGGTGATTGAAGTGATGGTTATTAGAGACCTAAGCAGCTGCATTGCTATCAAGGTACTGCTCAGAACTGAAAATTGAGGGGTTGCTGAGCCCAAGCTCAAGTTCAGAACATACTTTTATCTCTGGGAGGCAAGAATTATTGTACAGTTTGCAATTTTTTTTTCAGTGTCAGACTCAGTTTAAGGTTTCTGAAAGGCTACTGTTGTATAAATAATTTTGAATATTGCCTGCCACTTCACAATTTTAAATATTATGATCATTGATCTTATTTTTAATGTTAAGGGGAACATTTTAGCAGCACAAATAGAAGACTTGCAGCAGAATCTTGCCCTCCTGAACCATATCAGAGTTTTAAGTTTCTCTTCAGGGAAGCTATGATTTTCTTTCTGGGCTTTCAACTTAGTCAATAATCAAGTAACTTCATATAGGTCAGTTTAATTTTCTTTATCTCAGTTGCCTCACATGTAACATAAGAGTAGATAATAACCTCCCTTAAAGGCTTGCCAAGAAGAACCAAGCTATAAGATCTTCAAATGAAACACATAATAAAAAAGATTTTATGTAATTTGACATTTAAAACTAGAACTGGGTAACATTCTACATACCTGTAAGACTGTATTTTAATTTTGGATTATAGGGTGGATGTACATCAAGCAAAATATTAGATAATTTATACATTTTACCACTAGGGATATACTACCTTCATTTAGAAAAGCTAATAATGTTAATCTAAAACTCCCTCATTATTGATATTTGATACACAAATATTTAAAGAGATTCTGTCCTACACTTCATTTAAATATATTTTCAAACTTTATGAGAAATACATTTAAAAATTACTGCCTTTAGATGTGCTATTAAAATTTATACATATGATCTGCATTTCCTATTATCCATACAATAGCTAAAGAATACTTAAGTTTCTGTTACCTGTGAAAGCAATGATTTTCTAAATTCTTTTAATTCAGAGATCATGATTTTAACTTTCTTTTTCTATGCGAAATTTCACTCACCCAATTTCACTCATCACATTTTAAAATATGTATTTATTTCAATAGGAAACAGTTTCCATGTTTCCACCTTCTACCTGATATTATAAAAACACTGTAAAACAGGTTGCAACTCTATATCAATATAGCCTTTAAACTGTCCTTAAATCAAATAACAAAAGATAAACTGTTAGAGTATCATTTGAGCGAGACCTGCTTGCTGGGAAGAGGTGGTGTTTGTTAGGTATTTTTTGTTTCATGCTGCAGCTAAGTAAGTTTATATTGCATTTATGGTGGTTAAACTGAAATTATAAATAACTGAAATGATAAAATAGCATGAGGTATATATAACTAAAACCAAAAATGTTTTACTCCTTAGTCTGTGAGACAAGACCTTTCCTGAAGCAATTCCAAACAAGCAGGAATTTTTTTTCATAGTACATTTTACAGCTATTTGGGCAATTGTAGCTTAAAAATAAAATAAAACTTAGCTCTTTGCTATGAGTTATTGCTTATTTGCATTTCACATTTTCAGAGCATATTTTCCACCTCTCCACTACAGAATACATAACACCTAAACAGCTTTTTTTTTTGCCAAAAAGAGTTACCCCAATTTTTTTCCCCATGGGAGAGACCTTATTTTGATCAATAAGGAAACAGTTTTAAGAAGCTTGAAGAGATTTCTTGAGACAAAAATGTTTCCAGTGGCATTGCTTTTCAAACTACCATCGAATGATAAGCAGTGATACTTTGCTACATAAGGAACTACAACTGCCATGGAACAAGGTAACAACAGAACTGTTACATTTATCTCATGGCTCTCACGATCCTGGGCTTGAGAGCGGCTCAGCGCCACCTTTTCGGTCTGACTCAGCTCTGCTCATCTGGATAGCTGGTCATCCCCACATACCATTTGATTCACTGACCTTCTGAGGTCCCTTCCAATGTGAATTACCCTATGATCGTGTGATCCCATGATTCTTCTTATTAATTGGTTTCTGTTAAAACCTCAGACCAGCAGAGAAACTGCACATGAAAAACTTCTATAGGCAAAACTTCATCAGAGAGGATGGACTGATGTCTCTGACCTACAGTCAGCCTTTAGGAAGGTTAGCAATGAAATATCAGATAATTTGTTTTGAGGTTTTTTCTACATTGGAGAGAATGTTTAGCATGATGTAAAGCCAAATTAAAAGTAGGACAAAAAGCTTTTGGGGGAATAGACACATGCTAAATAAAAGTGGCTGCTGCCACTGCCACCCTGCAGGGTCTTACAAAATATCATGTAATGTGTCAATGTGATTTATTTTTATGAATTATTCCTATGGGCATGATGTATGTATTCTGTGAAGATTAAAAGGAGTTGTTTCTTTAGAGAAACTACATTAAGAATCACTGTAAAGTCATAGTTTAATTCTGCAGAACAGAAGATCCCACTCACTGAACTTTTATCAGTATTACAAAATAAATATTGTATACAAATTTCATCTCAGAACAATTCACAAGGCTGAATACATTTTACAAAGTCAGTGAAGTTTGACATGAAACAGATGAGGCACTGAGCAAAAATATTTTCCAATTTTGAAGCTAAGCATTCAGAGACATATTTCCTGTACTGTAGGATTTAATTTTCTTAATGATATCTCTTAGTTAGCTCTTCAAGAACTGACAAACTGGCTCCCACTGTTGCCCACTTTATTTAAGGTTACCTGTCTGTCAATTGCTTCTAGAGGCACCAGTTCCAGAAGAATTAGTCATTTCAACCCACACTGAGCAAGTCTATGATTATCTCTGAAACGTTATTTCCAGTGGCTTTTGCATCTTTCTAGTAATCTGTACAGAAAGGCACACTACACTTGACACACGACTACTAACCATGTAAGTTCCTATGATAATCACAACAGAATATTCCTCTGTGCAGTGAAAAGCTTCAAGGAGCACAAGGCCAAGCTGTCTCAGCACCAGAGAGCATTTAATGAATGGCCTCTAGAGCTGCACTGACTGCCCTCTTGGCTCTCACTGCAGGTACCAAGTTTGCACTGGAGCACATTCACTATCAGCACAGTTAGTATTTCTAACAGGTGACCATTTTAATGTAAACAGGATTCCCTCTGCTTTCAGCTGCTACTGGACTCAACAGCTATCACTGTGTGCAGGAAGGCTGTCAGAATTCACAACTTGAATATGTTTAAAACTTTAGACACTATAGAAGGTTTTACATGTGTGCATGAGAGGATGTGAAAATAATCCATATTTTGTGTATATAGAGATAACTACTGTCATCTTCTCATATTTCTACATATTTTTCCTTCTTCTTTCATAGTGTGTTGTGATTACAATAAACTTTTAGTTCTTAGAATTGTTTAGTCTTCATCAGCAAACAAAAATTTTCGTGGCAGACCACTTATACATGAGAATGTAGCTGCACTTGTCAATTATTTAAATACATATTTATCTACATATACATATGTTAACTCCAACACAAGGTATTTGAAAAGGCATATTGTAAAATAATTGTTAAAAATATTATTCAATAAACCAATACTTGTTTTCAACAGATATCTCAAGTATTTATATTTGAGTACAGTCTCTTTACTACAGATTTAGATACAGCCCTAGTTTAATGAGCTTCCTAAAGACACCCACAGACACAAAAGCAGAAGAAATCAAGGAAATTGATTCTGTCACATTCTGGAGGCAGCTGTAAGACAATTTATCACTTATGAAGGGTCTTCAAAAGCTTATGAGCATTTGGGGCACCATGTATCAGAAAGTTCATAAATGACTCACCAAATGTTACAAAAGGAGGAGAATGATCCTGGGTATCTTACAGAACAGAATGATCCTGGGTATCTTATAGAACAGTGAAATATATCCAAAGGCTGTTCTGGAGTAACAATGAAGCTGGGGAATGGAAATAGCATGTAAATATTCTCCTGTCTTCTCTACACATACCTTCTCTTTATATTTTATAATGGTAAAATAAAGCTATGGCTTAAAAATCACATTTCACTGAGTACAGGGAACTAGTTCAAAGGGACAGATTTCCTGTGTTTCTGAATTTTGTGCTCCTCAGTCAGTAAGGAAAGAGCAGATGCAGGGCTAACAGCGAGGACAGAATGAGAGAAACAGGATGCAACAGCTCACCAACTACAGCTGCCAGTCTTAATAGGGGAAGCAACCACAGCACCCTTGGGAGCAGTGGTGAGGGTGACCCCAGGCCTACTGGTAAGTAGAAAGGACTAGAGCATTTCCCAGGCTGCTGACATCTATTATAGCCTAAACATAAGTACAACTAGTAGATGATTTGTACTAGTTCCTCTTGCCTCCCCATTGAGCAGTAACTTGCTACAGCAAAGAATTACGTACCTATTGAACAAGATTTCTTGCACTTCCTGCACTAAGGAATGCCTCTATCCTGGCTATGAGAAGGTTCCTCTCAGGGCTCACACTGTCTTCCACGCTGCTCTTCACGAGTTGTTGATAGACACTACTAAACTGCTCAGGATGGTGAGCATGAAGATGTTTCCTGTAATCATGACTGAAGTCTTACCATATCATTTCATACCTATGTTTATATCCTTTTGGAGGTAGATTGGATTTCCAGGTGCTACTAAACAATTACACTTTAAAAGTATTAGGAATATATTTTTCCTTTTTTTCCAAGCAGAGCATGACCAGACTCTTCTCAGTGGTGCTCATGACAGGACAAGAGGCAATAAGCATAAACTGAAACATGTTAAATTCCACCTAAAAATAAGAAAACACCTTGAGGGTGACTGAATGCTGGAATAGGTTGGTGAGAGTGGTTGTGGAGTCTCCAGTCTTGGAGACATGGCCATGAACAACCTGTTCTAGCTGATGCCCCTTGAGCAGGGATATTTGACTATAGAATTTAAGTGTAACTCATGACACTATTTAGGTGTAACCTCAACTGTTCTGTGATTCTGTAGACTACCTTCCTTAATGCAGTCATCATGATTTATGCCTTTTACTTTGAAATTGGAATACTGTAATTGATTGAACAAGGCAAGGGCTCATGACCTCTGAGAGAATGAAGCTGTAAGAGCTGTTAAAACCTAACAGTGCAAACGAGAGACCAAAAATCAGACCAATCACATTAGTGTTTCATGTTTATCCTGACTTGGTTGTGTTTGGGGAGGAGTCTTAAAAGAATTGGACTAACTACCTGTTACCATCCTGGATTTGCCCGAAATGAGAGACTGCATCTCTCGCTCTCGGCTCCGCAGTGAGCAGCAGAGGTGACAGAGGGAGCTGCCTTGCACTGGCAGGATTGTCTGCCAGCATCTCCCCACTGGCACATACTCCTCTCTCATCTTTAACTGGCAGGTGTTGCTAACTCAAGCAAATCTAGAAAGCTGCAGGAATTTCACAGCAGAGAGATGCTGCTGAGTAGATTCTCTTCGGAATTAGAAGTGGGTTCACTCTTTCAAATATTCTGAGGACAAACACTATCTGCTGTTTGCTGCACCAAGCTTGTAGGCATTACTGGTTTATGAAAGGGTAATTTCAAAGAATGAGAAAGATCATGAGTATTTTGGTTGACAAACATTCTTTGTCTTTCTATGTTCCAAATAAACAGTTTAAAATTCAGCTTCTTCAGGCTCTGTTTTCTTCCCCTAACTGTTAGACATTAAGTGCCATTCAAATGTGTTGGAATATTTCTCCCCATTTCAAAAGCTACCCATAGAGAAATGTTTGGCTTCCCTTCAAATGGAACAGTTCAAAAAGAAAGAACTGCTGAGCACAGGGATTAGCAACAGTTGCACTTGAAAATGATTGATACTTTAAAATGACTGGGGGACTGGGTTTATACTTGTGAAAATGGAACAACAGGTACAGCAGAAAGGCTGGACTCATGAACTGTGACTAGATTATTAGCAATAAAACTTGCACACATGGAGTTAAACATATTTGTAGAGAGACCTCATATTTGTTGAGAAAGCTGTACTGGCTTGGAGAAGTGTATTTGTTTAACAAAAAATTTGCCATCAAAATGGCTCACTTAAAAAGGCTGATTAATAAAACTAGAGATTTTGATGTTATGCTTCCCAAGGTGAGCAGATTGGGTTTTTTGAGGGTTTTTGTTGTTTTTTTTGGGGTTTAAAAAAATTTTATTTATGCTTTTCAAACTCCTTTCAGATGACAGTAATTAAAAAAAACCCTAAACAAGTAAACCTGCACAAAATCCCAAACATCCACACAAACAAACAAATAATTAGTAATTTTAAATATTGTTTTTATATCACTGGAACTAATGGTAAGTATTGTCTATTTTGAATGTTAAAGCCTTAATAAAAACTGTGTATATATTTAGCCAGCCCTTTCAGTATAACATTACTGAGGTGTTAATATACCAAGACCTAGCTTACCTATACCACCAGAAAAATGATCCCATTTGTTATTTCCAGTATAGCAAGCTTTTTTCATCCATTTCTTTTACAAGCTGCTGTTGCATTGTTCACCTTGAGGAGTCTTGACAGTTGACTCAAGCTGATTGCCACACTTCCACAGACTGCTGTAGGGGAACTGCCAAACCTGTTTCCTACTGTAAGTCTGGTGCTTTCTCTAACTCCTCATGAATTTGCTTTCAACATATATAGATATTTCATTATGTATATATATTATTGTGGAAATGATCTGTCAAGTGTGGAGCAAAAAAAAAAAAAAAAAGCTGTTTTCTTTTTTGCTCTTTCAAAAGAGCTAAAAATGTGGGAGCAAAAAAAAAAAAGCTGTTTTTTTTTTTGCTCTTTTGCTGAAGTAGACAAATATTGGAGTTAATGCACAATAGAATTCCATTGCACAATATGGTTAAACCAGGTGAAAAAGCCTCTGTTTTAGAAGTAAACTTTTCTAATGGAAAAAAAAAAAAAAAAAGGAAAAAATTAGTTGAGAATGCTAATAAAATAGGAGAAGAAGCCTTTAAGGAAGTATGATGGTGTTGAATGTGTGATACAGGCCAGTTTTTAACTGAGGGAAGAATGATTAGTTAAAACACACAAGATATGGGCCCAGAAGCAGAGATTATTGGCAACAGTTCTTGTGTTTTGCAGACAATAGGAAGTAGGGGTGTGACTGGCCATCTGGTCTGCACGCTCCAGCTCCAGCTGTGCTAGCAAGCTTAAAGGAGGAGCTGCAGCTGTGTAATGAATATTTACAGCAGAGGAGGGTGTGATTTATGGCAAAGATAAGAACTGATGAAAAAGTAGGACTGTACGTGCTTGAGGTTTAAGATGGCATTTCAAATCTTGTTGTCTGTGATTCAATACTGGACATTTCCTTAAAATATTTGGAGAACCTAAATAAGAGATTTGATTCAGAAACTTGCTTTAGTGTGTGCAAATACAACGCTGGAAATTAGTATACAATTGCCCATGTCCAATTCTTATAAACATAGTTACAGAGGCACAAGAGGTTTCCTGCTAACTAGAATGATCAGAAGGTTTTGATAATTTAGTATCTAAGAATTAGAAACTTTTTTTTTGATAGCTTGGGACTGTGAACAATTAATTTTATATTATTCATGCCAATGAATCAGACTCAGAGATGGTCTGGGTGGAATAACAAATTATCATCAGGTATCTTAAAGGTATCTTCACTGATGTAATTTGCTAGTATTTAAAGTTTTGTTTAAAAAAACCAGGATTTTTATAAATGGGATTTCTTTATATTTACATATCTATATATATATATTCACATATCTATCTATCTATCTATATGTATACCAGATATTACACAGCTCTACCTACTGTTCCTTCTAAAGAGATGATGAATAAATAATTACAATATAACTGTCTTAAGATATACCTTGTCCATGTTATTTGGCTGCCACAAGTAAAGCTCTCTGTGACGGCCATATACTGGTAGAGAAGTACTAACCTGATCAGCAGTTACAAGCAGGAAGGAGGCAACCTGCAGTTGTTACAGCACACAGTACCAGCAAGAAGTTAACTTGTAAGTGCATGTAAAAAGAACTGCCAGCATGGTTTCCTCATTTTTGCCTTGCTAAAGAAATGTGTCTTCGATGGTAGGTACTGCCTTGAAGAAATTATTCAGCTAGAAGCCTTCAAGTTGGAATTAGTCACATTCCTGGTTGCTTTTCCCATGCTCCAGAGAGTTTGTGACAAGCACAGAGAAGTGTGAAAAGCTTTGATATTAAATCTAGAGATAACATTCATCTGAAGAGCTGGTGTCCCTGGAGAATGGAGGGAAAGTGTTATTCTCTAATATTCCTTAAAACACTCAGAGCAAGTGGTTTTATTCTGTCCATGAAGACATTCTCAGAAATCTAGTTCTATTAAATGCTATGCCTTAAGGAGCATTCGTTCTGTAAAAAAAACATGCCACAGGAAATCCTTAAATATAAGGGTGGAGGTAAGTAGCTGGCATTTGTTTCTAATTCATGTTTATTTTATTTCATTGCAAATTCTAGTTCATCTCTTCCAAATGAATATGGAACATTTCAT